AGCAATTATGATTGCTTTTAACCCTTTTAACTGAATGTGTCACACTTTACCATATTAATAATACAACTTTTTAGTGAGTTTTTTCACAGGTTGCATGCAGATATGGGACTATTTATTTATTAAAGTAATTGCATATTAAATTTCATAGAGAGAATATACCTTACARATAATATAAAACATCAGAATTCAAATTCAAATGCCACTAAGAAGCTCTCAGAAGCATTCTTCACAGAATGTTACAAGTGAATGCATGTTTTTGTTTGTTAATGCGTTTGTTTGTTTGTTTGTTTGTCTTTTTTTAAATGCTTGGATTGATGCCTCTRACTCCTGGAGTGTGCAGTCCAACATAGTTGTTCCTTGTTAGTATATCTTTCTTCTTATAACTGTTCATGATAACTGAGCTTCTAACAAGGTGGTAGACTGGGTCCGTACCTGTTAAAGTTGCACAACTCAGCAAAGCGGGAATGTTAATGTGATGCTTTGGTGGTAAAATGTAACGTTGATTAAAGACATAACGTTTCTAAAATTATATAGTCAGGACTGTATTTATTCTGAGCTCCTTTTATTCTGATTAGCAGGGTTACTTGGAGCAGCAGTGACTTGCAGTAGCGGGTACAGAGTCAACTTAATTCTAAAATACGTATTTCTAAATTCAAATTCATAGAGATGTATAAATTTTAGAGGACTTGATATCTATTAAGCTGTTCTTTAGCAGAGAGTGTTAACTTAGCTACTGATATAATTAGCTGCCTTAATCATTTGTAGTTATCTTTTGTATAGAATTCAGTATCATTGATGAGAAAGAGATTATTAAAGTAAGGCAGCCATATGCAGTAGAAGTTCAGTTGCTAAATGAGTCATACAATAGTTTCTTCCTCTTTAATTTTACACCTGCTACTCCAAAAAAAAAAAAAAAAAATCAATTGTTTGACATTTTCTGCTTAAATTTTACAACTCCTTAATTTTAAATTACTCTTTTAAAAAACTCTTTAGTTCCTTATTCCTTTAAGGGTCATAATTGTGAATAGCTTCACTTCTGTAGAAAAAAGAATTAATTCCAATTCATATTTGGTGCTTCTGTTCTGTCTCACCTGTGAGTTTGCAATCCGAAAGCTAACTTTTGCGGAAAAGGAATTGTTCTATCGTGTGTTGAAGGTTAATTTCTAATGTAGCTGCTTGACAGGAGATGTGATGGTGTAGAAATGGCAGGGCACAGTCAGCTTAATTCGGGTGTATGGTATCATGGAGATACAAGCAATGTCTTCCCTTAGCAGTGGCAGATGTGGACCTGTGACAGAGAAGATGGGGTTTTCCTGTCACTTGAGCTTATAGCTAAATTGGGTAGTCCAATGTAACCTGAGGTGGTGACAGGTGACGGGATGCATAAGGAGACAGTAGAAGTTTCAAGTACTGGACAGGAGAAGATGACTTGTCTGAGGACAACTTCTAAGGGTTTTAAGTGGATGGATTTTTAAGCCGTTATAGCACAGGAAAAATAGAAATTTGTAGACTATTGAGCATAAAAATAGGAAATATGTAGGCTAGCTGGTATGAGATGGGGCATTACTGCAGGATTTTATTTGAGGAAACTATATAAACTYCTTAAAGTTCGAAGGAAGACAAGAAAAGCCATTGTCACCTATATACAGATGTTTTCTCTTTTTTAAATATAAGCAATGGCCCTTAAATTATGCTTTTTACATTTTGGAAGTCGCTTTATGAATCCAAACAATTACAAAATAATATAGTAATACATCATGTTATGTAATAGTAATACATCATGTAGTAGTACATGTAGTAGTACATGTAGTAGTACATTACATCAGTAATACATCATATAGTAATACATCACGTTATGAGCAAGTTAGTTTGCTGGAAAATTGCTTGTACAAAAGTAGCACAAAAATAATTTCTTTTACTACTTGTAGAAACAGAAGAGTTGGAACTGATATTAGCAGAATGATTTAGAACTGGTCAAAATACATTTTTATAAAAAGACATGATTGAAATAAAAGTCTCTTTTCTTGCTGAGCAATTCCAAAACACAGAATCCTTTAACCAGCCCTAATAAAGAAGCCAGTGTCTCCTGTGCTTCAGTGTGAGGGCAGTAAAATTAAATACACTGTCTAAGAATGCAGTAAATCATATCGGGTCTTTCTTAGACCCAAACTAACAAACAGTTTGGGTCTAAACTCTCATTAGCTTATCCACAGTAAGAGAAAACTAGTAAAATGAGAAAAGGACATGAGAGGAGCTTTCTGCTAGTGTTCTCTTAAGCTTCCATTGTTGAATGACATCCCTATCTAATTTCAGACCCATAAAAAAACAAATCTATTTGGTGATTAGTAACCAGCGGGTAAGAGCAGAAAGCTTAAGTGAATAAAGCAATAAATACCAAAGTCCTTGGAATAACAGCCTGTAAAGCTGTCAAAACATGTTGCCTAAATAACAAAAGATAGCCTCTGGTAACAAGATGTGTCAACCGCATAGGCAATAATCTATATTCATATATATAAGACATATTTTTTAGTTCCTTATAGAAAACCATCCCTTTTTTCTTTTTTCTTTTTTTTTTTTAAATAATGTACATACTTATTTAAGAAGCAGCTCTTTCCCATTTCCCCCATTTCTGCTGTGAATGCTCTCACATCAGACTTCTCAGAACAGAAGAAGCTATAAGTTAATACTTTTTAAAATGATGGTACTCTGTACTTCTTGGAATAAAATTTTTAGGTAGGGTAGTTAAAGCGAATAATGTAAATGATTCCAAGGTAACGTTGAGACGTTTTTAAAAGGACATGGATATCTGTGTTTCACTGAGACTTTCTACAGAGTGGCTTTTCAAAATAGTATTCCTAAAGCAGAATGAAGTTTTATCAAGTAGGTATAACTTAATACATGTTCATATCTATTCCTTCTTGTGATCCTGTCTCCTGTCATTTAATGCTGCAAGAAAATTTTGTCACTAAGGAGTTCCGTTGGCACCTGATAATATCAATAATTCCAGGCCTTTTTGGAATTGTAATTTCTAGCAACTGGTCCAAAATGTAAGCAGTGAAGTTTTAGTAGTGTTAAATATCTTTGCACCTGTTTATTTGAGGGAGGCAGGAGGAAGAGGGAGAAACATTAGAGTTCTAGAGGTTAAAGTGTTAAATTAACTATTAATAGTGTTTGTGATTGATGTTTTTAATGGAATGTCAGATGTACAATGGATTTTACGTAAGTTACAGTTCATATGGAAATTAATAAGGTATAAAGGAAAAAGGAAGTAAATGCAAATCCGAAGAAGCCAGTTGTTGTCTAGTTATTTTCCTTTAAAAAGCCAAATGACAGGTAAAGCAGATGTTTGAGTAGACTGAAGCAAGAAGAGTGAAATAAGGCTCCAGAATGGTGATGTCTTTATAGTTTGTTTTTAATTGATAAGGATGTTGACTCTTGTTATTCTTTATCAGTCCAGTTTATTTATCATAGAAATCTCAATTTTCCTATGGTTTTTCATTAGTTGCAGTACCCAACAGAATTTCTTGCTTTTTGGAGCAGTGTCAAGTGATGCTGGAGTATCTGCCAGAGTCTGAACATGTGACACATGGACTCCCCTTCCCCTTCCCCTTCCCCTTCCCCTAGAATTGATGTTCATTTGAGGAAAAGCAGATGTTAAAAGGTGTTTTATTTTTATTCAGATATCCTTGGAAAGATTGTAATGTTCATTTACCTGAATAGGCATCTTTCTATTTCTGACATTTCTATTTCCAATTGTAAATTTGCCATCTCATTATGAAGGGCAACAATAGATCGATTTATTAAGACAAGGCAGGTTTTGGGGAAGTTACCGTTGAGTCTGTCAATGGCTAGACATTACTGCTAATATTTCTGACAAGGATTTAGTAGCAGCTTAATCACAAGGGAAATTGTTTAGCCAGGGAGAATCAGGAAGTTTCCATTAGCCTGGATAACATGTTACTGCAAAGCAGTTGTATGAAGTTAAAAGATAAAGCAGATGTTCTAAGAGTTGTTTTCAGATTATTACTCCCTACATCAATTTTTACAATTCCTTCTGTGTAGACTATTTTTTGTGTGTTTTCTGTAACCCTGTGCAGCGTTTGTTCCTTGTCTCATATACATGTTTGTACGTACATGCATAACCACATTCTGAACTAGCCAGTCTACGAAAACACAGAGAACGTGTATGGAGATTGATGCACAATATGGCAGCAGGAGACAGGAATTCTCAGGACAAGCTTCAAAATGAATAAGCTCAATGAGAAAAAAAAAAAAATCCACAGAGTTATATTAAGATAAAATAGTAGGGCTTTCTTAGTAGCTGTATGGTGTTTTATAGAGAAATATATACTATATACTTCTTAAGTAACAGTGGGAAAAAAATGTATATTTAGCAAGGTGTAGAGCTATTAAGTAAGTAATGCAAAATGATTTTAACAATTCTGTTTATAATTTTTTTGAAGTCTTTTGGTTCAGAATAATTTACCTGTATAATAGAGCAGTCTTTTTATTTCAGTTGTTCTTATTCTGCTTGTCCTTTAGGTAAAGAGAAAGAAAAACGGGGAGGAATCCTGTGGGTTTTAGCTTGTTTTACTCAATTGTTTCCTTCTTCATAGATTCTACCAAGTTAGTATTAATTAGGAAAGTGTTTCAAGCACAGTTAAAAAAGGCTGCAGTATAGCCTTTGGTCCACTTTATGAAAACTTACTCAGGCCCACATCCTATAAAACATTTCAAAGAATACATGGATAGCTTTTGTGTAGCAAATGTTGACTTAGTATAAGTACTGTATGTGCCATTTAGTTGCGTGTATGTTTGTTGTGCTCTTGCCCATTTGTCCACTCCTTGGCTTGACAACACCATAAATAAAGATCAGCAGGTTTTTTAGGGGGGTGCTTTCTGTTTTCTTTTGTTTTAACAAAATGCTTAAATAATACCTTCCTATTAAAATACAAATTGTGGATGCAAGTATTTATTACAATGCAATTTTTTTTTCTAAGTCTGAACAGCCCAGTCCTGCCAGTTCCAGCTCCAGTTCCAGCTCCAGTTTTACACCATCTCAGAACAGCAGACAACAAGGTACTAACAAAGCAACATAAATGAATATATAAAATGAGCAGGCCCACAAAAGCTAATTAATAGCATCTCATCGCTACTTTCCTGTTGCTTTCACAGCCTGTACTAGCTACCATTTCAATTTCATACACTTTTGTCTGGATGTTTACAGTTGTGACCGTAAATGCAAAATACAAGGGGAGAAAATGTTTGACTAAGGAAAGGGCATGAGGGGTGTTTTTTTTGAGGCAGCAAATATGTGCCAGCTACTTAACAGGTGCTAGACCCAGAAGTGCTTCCAGAGTCTCAAAAATGGAAACAATTTTGAGGCTGTGGTTGGGTGGGTTTAAAGAGTGTAGCTGGCTGCCCTGTGAAGCCCTGCTTAGGCTGGCTGTGCTTGAAAGAGCAGTGATCTTTAAATTCATGGTGCTTGGTTCCAGGGCCAGCAAATTCTCCATGGATTGGAAGAAACCTAGCAAGTCAAAGCTATGGGTCTGTTTTCTGGGAAGTTTTTAAGAGCATACTGTATTTATGTTAGTAATATGATGGGAGAGAAGGATGGTTAGGCTCTAAGTTGACGTTAAGTTTACATTTTGGCTTTTTGGCTAATAATTATGGTCTACTCAGAAGTTAGTAACAAAATATAAGTTTCTTTCCAAAGAGCCTGCCAAAGTAGTTTTTTTTTTAATTGAGATTCGTTCTACACGACCAATTAAACTACCTAGTTCCTGTTTTGCTTTGTTTCCTGACTTTACAAGACTCTATGCTATGCTATTCTTAATCAGTTTTTCTTTTGTTCATTAAACCAGGAAGCGTTAAGAAAAGGTAGGTTTTGACTGATTAAAATGGCATTTTTTGATCTATATATTTTTCTCTGAAGATAGTCTTCCATTTAAGATTATGAAAGTAGTCAGTACCTCAGGCAGAAGAGTTGTTTTTTAAATGATCTAAATATGTTGTCTATCACATTGCCTTTCTGGAAGTAACAGGTAACTGACAGTGATTTTCTTCTGTATTCCAACAGCATTGTTCAAGTTGTTGCACGTCTTTGAATTAGGGAGACACAGACAAAAGTGAACTGTTGTTCATGACTGACTTCAGGAGTTGGACACATAACTAAGGCAGAACAAAAGGCCCTTTTGCCCGTTTTTGTATTCATGAAAATCTCATTAGTGATATGAGCTATTACAAGCCAGAAGTTTTGGGAACCCTTCTTATACCTTGTATTGGGAGAAAAAGAGGCGGTTTGATGTTTTTTTCTAAGCAGACTGGATCAGTTCATCTGTCCTGGCCTGTTTATGAGCGTGTCACAGATTGTCTTTCAGTCTTTCTTGACAATGCATAAGAGATCTTCCTAAGACATGAACAGCTTTGAAAGGCAAATAGTTTATATTTGAGCCCTTTCTTGCTGTAATAAAAAGTGATTAATATACTTTTAATCACCACTCAGGTGGTGGCCTGGGCAGTTGGGTGGAAATACATCAAAGACAGGTGTGGGATCCTGCAGCTAGGGTGACCTCGTGCAGCAGTGCACACCAGGGACTGACCTGCTGGAAGGCAGCTCTGCAGAGAAAGACCTGGGCATCCTGGTGGACGATAGGCTGACTATGAACCAGCAATGTGCCCTTACGGCCAAAAAGGCCAGTGGTCTCCTGGGGCCTTTTGGAAAGAGTGTTGCCACCCTCTACATTCCCCCTCTGCTAAACCCTGCTGAGGCCACACCTGGAGTGCTGTGCCTCGTTCTGGGCTCCCCAGTACAAGAGAGACATGGAACTACTGGAGTTCGGCATCGGGCTACAAGGATGATCAGATGGCTAGTTAAGCTGGAGAAAAGAAGGTTAGGAGCAGATCTTATAAATACCTTAGGGTATTTATAAGGGACCTTAGCAGGTCTATAAATACCTTAGGGGAGGGTGTCCCAAGGAGGGTGCCAGAACATGTTCTCCGGCACTCAGTAGGTCACTGCCATGGAGAAGGCACAGCCATCTTCTGGACCAGACTTCTGTGCTCTCAAGGCAGACAAAAAACCGCCTTCAGTAGGAACTTAAAGAGTGATAGTTTCTTTACCTATCTTTACCTATAGATAACCTATTTCTCTTGTGACTTGAAAAATTGTCAGGAGATTAGCCTTTCTAGGCTAAAGCTAGCTTTTATGAATATTCTTATGTTCTTTCCTTGTATCTTTTCTCAACCACAGGCAACAACTTCATGTATTTCCATTTTARTTCTCTTTTCTAGCTTTATACCTCAATTGTAGTCCTTGTACTTCGTCTTTTGTTTTCTTTGCATCCTACTGGTTGAACTCACCAGCAACTACAATTTCAAAAAGTTCAAATTAGGCAACTTATTCCATCCCTGTCCTGATGCATCTRTGGGTGCCCTGTCTTCTGTGCTTCAAAGGGAAATAGTTCATTACCACCTCTCTTCTTCTGCACAACTCACCTTTCCTTATGGCCTGTGTAGGTGCCTGCTCTACCAGCCATTTGCCCAACAATAGCATCTGGGCTTATTCCCAATCAACTTTAGGGTGTGCAAATAGGGGACAGAATCTGCTGCATCACCTTAAAATAAGTTTTGGGCAGCATTTGTGGTAAGTCCTTCTAAATGTTGAGTTTAAAGTCTCTAGCCCAGTAAGTCCTTCTAAATGTTGAGTTTAAAGTCTCTAGCCCAGAACTAATCAAAAGGCCTGTGACCACAAGTGATCCACCTAAACAACTTTTCCATAAACCATGTCCATGAAGGAAATAGTTATACTTTTGACAGCATGATCCTGACAGAGCAAGAGATGTGGCTTCTCTTCTGCTTGTGGCTGGGGATGAAGCTCATCGACTCCATATGCCCCATAAGCAAAGAATATGCAAAGTTTGCTTCCCTTTGAGGGAAGATTTAAGAATATGCAAGGTTTGCTTCCCTTTTGCTTCCCTCCGAGCCTTATTCCATCATTGTTAGTGCTTTGAGTTTCCTGGGATGGAGAATCTATGGAACCCTAGGACTAATTGCTGTACCTATAGACATCAGTGTACCTTGCACTCTCTCTGTTCTCAGCTATGGTATACTCCATGGCATCGTTGTTGTTTGCCTCATTCTTCTGAGTTCCTTTTGCCCATTCTTGTTTTAAGCAACTGTATTATTTTACAAGCTACAGATATGTCAAACATGCTGCTTTTTCTGCAGTTACCTCTTTCATCAAAATAAATTGAGTAAAATCAAAACAGAATCCTAAACTGAAATGAACAGTTTTATGGACCATACAAGCTTCCTATCTTGCATAGATAGGATGATAGATAGATAGGATAGATATAGATAGGATGCTGTTACATAGAATTGACACACTTGTTATATATGAACAGTGACAAAATCCTTCCTTGTCCAGAAATCGACCTTGAAATAGGAACAGCTATATCTAAACAGATTAAAAACCTGCCTTGGTCAGAACAAGTTATAGTCAGAATAATTTATTAAGCTTTGCTTTTCAGTATRTGGATTAACTTAACCAATGTACTATTACTAGCCTGTCCCAGCAGATCTTTACTGGCATATAAATACCCTTTTAGAAAGCAAGCATTGTTAAAGCTATCAAAGTGAAAAAAATCTTTCTTGTATTAGTAGGATAGAAACATTCATTTTACTCCTAAATTAAAACAAGAATAGGGAATATTTGGTGCAAAAATATTTTACATACATCAACTGTTTTACAGGGAGCCAATCTTGAAAATACTTGCATGTATGAGTCACTTCATTGTCACGAGTAGGTCTATTAAAGTTGTCACAGTTGCTCATGTGAGTAAATGATTTATGGATAAATGTCCACAGCATAAGTCTCTGATACATTACTTCATATTTTAATGTTTAAAACTCTTCCCTCCCAGTACTGGGCTGGAAGATTAGTTTTTTATCATCCGTGAAGCTGAGTGATTTGTCTTGGAACTCTGCAAAATGAGCTCAGTTTGTGTGTTTTATTGTTTCTGTTGTCTATAGGTCCATTGAGGTCTATAATGAAAGATCTGCATTCAGATGATAATGAAGATGAATCGGATGAGGCAGATGAGAATGACAATGATTCTGAGTTGGAGAGACCTGTAAGTACACGTGGAGGAAGCAGAAGTCGCAGGTGAGTGTCCTATGATGGCAAATAGCCTGGTGGCCAAGGTGTTGCACCTGCTAGTAATTAAGTGGCTTTTACTGTTCTCACACTTTGCTAAGTAGGAAACAGCCAGAGAGATCAAACTGTTTCCACATATAGCAATGGCTTTTCTGAAAAGTGTAGGAACCAGTCATTTGCAATGCGAACTATTTGTATTCTAAACCACATTGTCACTGTGGTGCTGTATTCATCCAACTTGGTCTCGTGCCATTGTGAGTTGAGGAACTAGTTGAGAGGGTAAAACAGAGGAGGAAGAAAACGACAAGGCAAAGCATATATCAGTCACAGAAATTTTRAACATTGTGCTTCTGAAGTGAAGCCTTAGTAAGGCATTTCAAAATTCAGCTGTTCTTCAAGCAGCTTGAGGCTCTGTTTTACTGTGTTGAAAGTCATGGAAAACCTGAAACACAGACTCTCTCAAACGTTTTCATAGTGGATCTTTTATCTGATCTACACGGTTCTGCTTGTTCTACTCTTTGCGAGCTCATAGCACCTGCGTGCCAATGTCAGCAATTGCTTAAGTGGAAAGGTAATAGGAAATTACTAACAAATGTCAGCTGTTTCTCTAACATGTTTTAGCAGCTGGAATCAAAAAGAAAAAGATCAAGACGACTAGCATTTGAGCATTCATTAAAATGGCTGTGATTCTATAAAGGATGGTTTTATGCTTAACCTCTTTCTGAATTTGTTACAGTTTGAGGGGGGAGAGAATTTTGTTACAGTTTGAGGGGGAGGAGAAAATTTTTTTTTAAAAAAAGCTTAAGACGAATGTTTCTGTACCTTCATTTGTCTTCAGTAACTCATGTTTTGTTTTCTTCTTCCAACACGTAAATATTCTATTTTTCCTGAGTAAATGGAAAGTGATACTGATAAAGATCTGAGCTTTTGCACATGCCCCCTCTGAGATGCTGAGCAGGAAAAGTGTATTGTTTATGATGAAGTTTTTAAGATGACTTTTCCATCAAGCCCTTGTCTGTGCAGGAAGTTTAGAAAAGTTTTAGAAGAGCAGAGAAGTATCCAAAAACATAGTATCTCTAAAAATATGATCCTCCTTCCAGATGGCTATGAACAGCAACACAGCCTCACTCCAGGAACTGTGGAAACAGCAGTGTAACTTTCTAACAGTTTAATCATTTGTATAATGTTACCTGTTCTTAACTGGACAGTGTAACATTGGCTGAGTGAAGGCAGCCCRTGTTGTTCTCCATGCTACACATAGTCTTTTCCAAAGTGCAGCTCTACTGTGATGCTTCTCCTCTAACAAGCAGCACTTGTCCAAGTTACTTTGATTAATGATGGCTTACTTATCGAAGAGTAGTTCTTAGTATCCTGTCTCAGGGCTTACTCTAGCATGTAGCCCTTTATCGAGTGGTCTAATCTTTTGGGTCTGTTTCTCCACAGAGTTAGTCTGAGTGATGGCAGTGACAGTGACAGTAGTTCAACTTCTTCATCTCTACATCGTGAACCAACACCACCTTTACTGAAAACCAACAACAACCAGGTAAAATCAGAACTCATAAATATAAGCTGTCATAGGAACATGCTYGCTATCGAGGAGCTGGTATAACATTCTAATTACTTTAGGACAATCAGCCTACACTGAYGTTAGGGTTTTTTTCAAAAGATGGCAAGATGTCTCATAAATTAAATACTATAAAGCAAATGTTTTCTTAAGTATTTTAAGGAATGTGTCCCTTTTGAATTAGCTTTATGCAGTAAACAATGTAAACTGGCTTTACAGCATCAATCATACAATCAGCGCACTTTTGGGGAGGCTGTATTTGTAAAAGACACAGTTCACTTCAATGGGTTCATTCTCAGGAATCTATTCAGGAATCAGTTTTCTCCTTTACTCTCCTCGCCAGCATCTATCTAGAAGATGTAATAATTTTTTACTTCACTGTCAGAAAGAGTATTTGTTCCATATTACTAAAAGCTAATTTTTATATTATTTTTACATGGGAAGGTAGAGTAGTTCTGTAGGCATAAGAAAAAAAGAAAGTAGACATAAAATCTGATATTCTAAAACAGTCGATATTTATTAGTTATGAAAAATCTGATATTCTAAAACAGTCGATATTTATTAGTTATGAAATATATGGTTTGTTGCTTATGTTAGGGAGTCACAACAGACTCCCAGACATAGACAGTATACAAGACCATCATGCAATTTACTGAAATCAATGTAAGAATAAATGGCTATTTACATTAATGATGTAGTTAGAATAGCATTTACATGTATTAACAGAAGTTTTTGGTTTAGATGATGAATTGAATCTTGTAGATGAGTCTTTCCTGTATCACCTAGGTTATCTGTTTCCATTCTCTGGCAAAAATATTTTACCTCTTATTGTTTTCCAATAATACACTAGTTTATTCACTATGCAAAAACAGAACATTATTAGACATGCTATTTAGATTCAAATACACTGGGAAGAAAAAAAAATATGGGAAATAGACTGTGCAYATAACCATTTTTATGAATATAAAGAAAAAGATTTTATATCCAGGAARCATTTGTAGCATCCATTAGAAACTCCGGAGACTTTTTACTGAGTTGATTTACASGGAAGTTTTAAGCTTTTCAGAGAGATTCTTTCTCGAAGAAATCAAACTATCAAGATATAGAATGTTAGTTTTATTGAAGACATAAAAACAAGCAGAACGAAGCATCCTTTTATGGCTTGTTGTTTAATGAAGGCATTTACTTCTGAAGGCATTGCAGGGGCGATGTAAGTGAAAATGTGAGTCTCAATAACCCACTCAGTGACATGTTTCATGTTCCTTTCTGCTTCGGTGACCTAACAAAAAGCCTACCTGCACGTTTAGACACTTGAAACAGCAGCAGTAAGCCAGCTGAATGCGAATGTCTCACTGCCCTTTGATTTCATAACTGTGAAAGTTGGAAATACGGAGAAGCTGGGCTTGGTAGCAGACTGCTGCTTACTAGACTGAAGTTTTTCATTTGAAAGATCACACTAAATTCATTTACATCCTGAAATGCCTAAAAGGTTGTTAATGCCCATGTCTCTGTAAGCTTCCTCTGTTATTAGGGCCATATCACCTTTGAACAAGGGTGCTTGAAATGCTCAGTGGCAATCACACATCAAGAGTGCTTATAGGAAGTGACTCTCTGAGGTATATTTGAGGTTCTGTTTTAAAATGACTTTAAATTTTAGGACAAATCAGTATCAGAAGTTACAGAAACTTGAAGAAAATTCTTAGTTATCTGTAAAAACAATTAAAACACATACCTTACTTAGGGATATATTTTATCAAAATAATGCACCTTCCGGACTGCAATAATCCCAAAGGTTGTTTAATGTAAAAATTGGGATTTTTCTTCAGAAAACTATCTTATTTTGCCTTCTGGCTATACATCAGTCTTGGCTAAGCAAATGCTTAGGTAAGATTGATTTTGATCTGCAGACACTTTGTTTATACAAGAAAGTAGCTGTTATCCTGTCTTGTGCATTGTTACCATGCTGATCACCTTGAGGAGCATATATGTAGTTTTAGCAAATTATAACAGGGAGCTAGAATGAACTTAGAGAAAACTGTCAGTGAAGCTTCAACTTCCAAGAGTTGTTTTAACAGGCCTTCATTTCCTTGGTTTTCTGTGTTGAGCTTCGTACTTGTGACAATCCAGGATCATTTTAGGGAAATCATGATACTGATGCCAGTCTAATTTACAGTGGCACATAAAAAAGGATCTTCATCATATGTGATTTATTTTCTGTTGATATTTTTCAGAAGAGCTGACTCTACTCCAGGTTAGGTTTGAAATGATGCTTTTATATTTGTACTTCGAAAAATGTCTCCCTACATGATGGGGAAAAAATAAAAAAAAAAAAAAAGAAGGATTTTCTGTTTCCCTGAAGCATTTTTCACTTGAATCCTAAGATGTTCTTATCAAGTGTTGATGTTCTGCTGAATATTTACCTGCTGTTCTCAGCTGCTTCAGTACTGGATGAAGTATTCCTGGTTTGTGTATGTGGTAGTGCAGTACAAAGCCATTTACTAAAGAAATGGTACAATATAAATACAGGACAAATCACTGCTTTTTGTCAAGTATTTTTTCTTTTTACAGTTACAGTTCATGCAGTCATAAGTTTTGGAATCTCTATTCTTCAGAAAATAGTACAGAAAAGAGAACACAGAAGAAAAATATTTAGCTGGCACTTCTGAGACACTGAACAGTAGCATCCTTGCATCATTCTGTGTCTACAAAATTTTATCCTTCTTATCTTATTCTTACTCTTATCTTGCTAGCATGAAAAGGACATGTGCACGAAAAGGTGATGCTAAGGTTTTTGAAGTATTCATGTCATTTTAAAGCCTTTAAGGAAGAATAATACTGGTATCACACCATCACCACCAATTCATCATTTTCTGTTGCAAGTTTCTTTTTCTGAAAAGATATGGGTTGGCTGTAGAGATGAAATAGTGTAAAAGACTGAGTATGATTTTCTATAATCTTTTTGTTTTTAAGCACCAGCAGGATTTTTCTTAAGCAACTGTAATCCAAAACTGTATTTAAGGATTTTCTTTCTTTTCTAGATTTTAGAAGTCAAAAGTCCAATAAAGCAAAGCAAATCTGACAAACAAATAAAGAATGGTGAATGTGATAAGGTAAACATGAATGTGTGAATAATTGTCTATCCTAAAAATGGTGTTGATGTATTTTCTGCAAACCAAATAATCATTCTTTTTTCCTACAGAATGAAAAATAAATTACTAACTCTTTGCTTCTCCAAGGGCATATTTTCTCCCTTTGTTTTAACATTTCTTTCTTCCTTGCTTTATTTTAAGAGCTTTCCTTCCCTTCAGTGCATATAGTGACTTAGCAAATGTCACTATGTGAGAAGCTGCCATCCATTTGCATTGTGTAACTACCATAAATTTGCATTGTGCTTCACTGAACAGGTGACAATTTTTGCATAGGAAAAGTCACAGTTGAATTTTCAGTCAGTAAAACCCATCAGTCAATGTGAGGCATTTTCCAGAATCCTTTCCAAGGGTTGCACCATAGGAAATGGCTGTGTGATTTAGTGTATGTTAAATAGAACAATATTAAGAGTTGCCATTTAACACAGGGTAAGGGAAACTGACTTGACTGAGTTGGGCTTGTTTAGCTCGGAGAAGAGAAGGCTGAGAGGCGATCTGATCAACTTGAATAAGTTCATGAAGGGGGAATGTAGGGAGGAAGGGGCAAGCTCTTCTCAGTGGTGGCCAGTGACAGGACAAGGGGAAATGGGTGCAAATTACGACACAGGCAGTTCCATCTGCCTGTGAGGAGGAACTTCTTTCCTGTGAGGGTGCCAGAGCCCTGGCACAGGCTGCCCAGGGAGGCTGTGGAGTCTCCTTCTCTGGAGATCTTCCCAACCCGCCTGGATGCCACCCTGTGCCCCGTGCTCTGGGTGTCCCTGCTGGAGCAGGGGGTTGGACTAGATGGTCTCTAGAGGTCCCTTCCAACCTTGAATATTCTGTGATTCTGTGAAAGAGATTATAAAACCATGTCATCTGGCTATCAATGTGAGCATTGTGTGAAAGAATACAATATAGTTTCCCAATGTGGACAAGATCCTCTGAAGGTTTATATTTTCTAGGTTATATGTAAATTCTTTATGATACCATGAGCGAGGAGACTGAAGTAGCAATATTTGTTGCTAAATTTTCAATGACCTATTCCGTGTTACTTTTTCTTCCTCAGATGGGTATTATATCTCTCTGTGCTTAAGGAAAACAAAAAAGMAACAAGACAAAGAAAATGTTTCTGATGTCTAAGAATGAGTGAAAGAGAAAGTCACTGATGTGGTAGAGAATGGGGACATGACTTTAGAATAAGGGGATATTCTGAGAAAGAAGGAAGTGGAAAGTATCATTAGAACAATGACCTTCTTGACCATTTTCCCACCAAATTTCCTTGTTGACACACAAAATTAATCAAGTAGGTTTAAAGAGAGAGGTATTTGGTTCTGAGCTTTTATAACGAGTTCATGATGCCCCTGATTAGGAATTCTTGTGTTTTTTGCTGGATTTCTATGTGGAAAGGTAGGATCTGTTTGACCGAAGTTCTGTTTTTCAGACCTTCTCCCAAACTGTGCCTGAGCAATTAGATTTCTTTTCTACAAAATGAATGTTTCCTTTCCAAGGGGTTGCTATCCCTTAAACTCTTGACATTCCTTAAAAAGTATTTCTGTGCATCTGAAAAATGCCCTGAGTGAACTTCCAAAGTTCCTTCTGGTCACTTCCTTTCTAAGAATTCGTGTATTCTTTAGATTTTCAAATGTTCTTATACCAGAAAGCAACTCAACTTTCCAAAAGTTGAATTTTTGATAAAGTAATTTATTTTAAGTTTCTTTATAATGTAGCAGGATCTTAAGATTTTCAGGGATGTGAAGTACATAAGAAGACCCTCAAAAACTTGTGTTTGGATTGAATTAAGCTAAGGAAAGCCAGCCTATTTTCTATTTCACAGCCACCTTTTTGCTAAGGGAAAATAAGATTTAAAATAACAATTCCGTTGCCTTTTTTCTTTTTTTTTTTTTTTTTTAAGAAATCTGGAAGTGTTTGAAATGCACTATGATTATGAAATACAGCTATGATTAACAAGTTTTTTTTGGGGGGGGGATATTTTTTAGGCATATCTCGATGAACTAGTAGAACTTCACAGAAGATTAATGACATTGAGGGAGAGACATGTACTACAGCAGGTGAGAAACACTCTCATGCTATATAACAGCATGTTTATTGAGTTTGTGAAGTCACATCTATTTTTATTCCCTTCATCTAAAACATTAGAATCAGATTTAATAGCTTTCGAGTCTGTAGAAACTGCTTATTAAGGCATTCATTTCAGAATAGGAAATYATTATGTGTACTTTGAATTATGTTGCCAAATTAATTGACAGATTAAGAAAAAGAATGTCTATCTGAGCTATTTTTTTCACCATTTTATTGTTATGTTTCTCAACATAATGAGTCAGTAAATATGAAAAAAGGATAGGAGAATGAGTACAGCTGCATGTCATTACTTAATAGGAATTTTGAGTCTGCTTCTCCCTGAGGCTGCTAGGCATTTTTTCACAAGTAGTCAAATATGTTTGCCATGCCAAACACAAAATATGCAATTCTAAGCAAAATTCACTTGGAGAGAAAATGTGCATATTTATTCAGTCTTTTAAAGTCACAGAAGTAATGAAATATGAAAAAAGCTCTCACATTTATTGACAAGATATGCAATATTAAGAAATTATATTTGTTGTTTTGTATGACTGTGTTAGATACTATTGCGAAAATGAGACAATAAACAACATTAACAGGTCTAATTGTAGTACAAATGGCATTTTATAATATTTAGAGCAATTATGTCCCAAATTTAGACACTTTGAAAGAGAATTTTTAATCACTTCTTAAATAACTTCAATCACTCATCAAATTTTTCAACACTTAAGTGAGTAAAAACATATTTTTCCAGCCTCTGCATTAATCTGTGTTTATTAATTCAGGTATAATATTGTGAGTAAAGAACAGAAAATAATAGAGAGATTGGTGGAAAGCTTTCAGTTAGAGATATTCTTTAATTAAAAAGTAATATTGATGGCAGTGTCAAATGTCATCTGCTGTGACGTACTCGAGAATATTGATGATCCTTCATAGTTAATATACTCTTGTTCCCCAAGTACATTTTGTCTTTTGTTCAAATTAGAGCTTTTCTCACCAAAGTACTCTGTCTGAATGGCGGAAAGGCCAATTTTTGACTTCATTGAGAAATTGCAGGAAACTAGAAGATATGAATTACCTTCCCCATTTACATTATTCACAACTTCTTATAGAGTCCACGTGAAAAGCGAAATTGAAGAAGCCTCTGTATTACTTTATTGTAAGGTTGTGCCTTAGTTTGGCCTCTCTAGACATCAAAAACATATCTTTAGAATATTCTCACTTGACCCAGCAGAGCCTGGGGACTTCCAAGTGAAATTCTGAGAAAGAAAATCTTCCTGCAAAGAGAAGATGAAAACAATCAAGTCCTTCCAAGGACAGCTTGGCAATGGAACTTTCTTGCTGAAAGCTGAGGATGTTTCTCCATCCTCAGAGATTTTCAGGCCCTGTTAAGACAAAGTCCTGAGCAACCTGGTCCAACCCCACAGCTAATCCTGCTTTAGAAAAGCGAAAGGACTAGAACTCTGCCTTGAAATCTGAATTATCCTGTGGCCCTAAGAAATAAGATGATTCCAAATTAATGTGTAATCCATTCTTTTTTGTTATTTTTGTTTTATTTTATTTTCTAGTAGCGCTTGCTACTGTTTTGTGTGGAGGAAGTACATACTATTGGCAGAAGAAAGATGGACTTGTCCATTAAAACATACTTCAGTCTGATATTAGAATACAGTTGAAATCTACCTCATAAGAACTTACTCATATTAGGAAAAGCRCTATGAAAAGAGATATGGCTGAACTGAAAGTTTGTATCCCACACTAAGTAAATGAAAAAATAATTCAAATTAATCACAATATTTATGTGGATTTATAGCTGAAGATAGACTTTTTATCATTAATATTTATCAGAGAATATTATGATTATGTTATAAAAGCTAGGTCTGTTACCTGAAAGTGTTGCCATGTTTCCTGGAGACATTTGTCCTTGCAATTATTTTTCTCAGTTTGGGTTTGCRTAGTTGTTTAATAAAGCCTCAGGAAAAGCTGAGTTTCCAACAGCAGAGTACATGCTAGAACAGTAGACAAAATCCTTTACTGATGTAGCTTGTAGCTGTGGTTACAAGCTACATATAGTCTATACTGATATGCTAAATATATGTAAATATGTGTATATRCATATATGTTATATATGTACATACATAACAAGCTACATACTGGCATAGCCATATAATATTGACTATGAAGATCCACTAGAATACAAGGAAATTATATGAAATTCAATGAAATAAATGTGTTAACACTTCTAGAGATTCTTTTTTTTTTTTTTTTTTTCCTAAAATAGAGTATATTGCTGTGGTTGTTACAGAAAATGGTTTTCTTTCATAGTATCACAAGGAAATATTAGGATTATGCAGTGTAGTTGTCTTCCCTGTTTCAGTTCCTGTAAGCTTGTTCTACAGCTATCATTTATCACACAGTGGGTATTTGAAAACCAAGGTTGAGAATAAATTCATTACTTTACAAAAGCAGGCTGCATTGACTTCTTAGCTTCTTTCTTAAGACAAGACTCAGAAAAAGGCCTAAAAGGGAGAATAAAAAATAACATATATCCAATTTGCCTTCTAACAGCTATGAGGTTTTTTTTCTGTTTGAATTTGTCTCACATGTTAGTTACCTCACATGGTAGGGAGGTGTTACATGAATCCATGAATCATCAGATGGAGAAATGAAGCAGACAATAATGATGGATTAAAAATTATTGTATGGAAAAAAAACATTAAAAGCAAGAGAAAGGCTTTTAAAGAGAGCAAATAAATGCAGAATTCATACTAAGTATTTCAGAAACTTATACAGCCTCAAAATAAGTTAGATATTGCCTTTCTTTTTTCTCAACCTGTGGAAAGAACAATATGGAAGGTGATTAGTAAGAGAGATTTTTAATGTAAAAGGCATTTTCCTCTTTTATTTCTTTTCTGTTTCCTCCAACGGAGTTTATATCATTTATTCTCTGATAATATACATGAAGTTATTTCATTTATCATATACGTAGTTCTTTCATTTGTAGTCAATGCAGAAAAAGGAAAGAAAAAGTGAAATGGAGATTAGTTAATTGTACAAAATATGCTCTAATATTTTTCAGATTAGTGAGTTTTTTGCCACATTTGTCATTTTTCAACTATAAAAAAAGAACTACAGTTTAAGTAGTAAAATGGAAAAAAGTAAATATCAGAATACCAAATACCAGTAAATACCTATCTACCAATGCAGTRGTACAGAAACTGGAGGATTTTCAGAGGCTGGAAAACAAACGCTGCCTTTGTTTTTCAAAGTCTGTGTTCAAAGATTAAGCAGGACACTAGATCTTTGGATCTGGAGTACTGTGTTCAGTTYTGGGCACCCCAGTATAGGAGGGACGTGGAGCTTCTGGAGAGGGTCCAGAGAAGGGCAACCAGGRTGATTAAGGGAATGGAACATCTCTCGTACGAAGAGAGGCTGAGTGAGCTGGGCCTGTTTTCTCTGGAGAAGAGACGGCTCAGAGGGGATATGATTAATATGTATAAGTTCAGGAAGGGAGAATGCAGGGAGGAAGGGGACARGCTGTTCTCACTGGTGGCCAGCGACAGGACGAGGGGTAATGGCCACAAGCTGAAGCATAAGAAGTTCCGTCTCCAGGTGAGGAGCAACTTCTTTRCTGTKAGGGTGACAGAGCAGTGGAACAGGCTGCCCAGGGAGGTTGTGGAGTCTCCTWCTCTGGAGGTCTTCAAAACCCRCCTGGATGCCGCCCTGTGCCACATGCTCTAGGTGTGCCTGCTTGAGCAGGAAGGTTGGACTAGATGATCTCTAGAGGTGCCTTTCAACCTTAAATATTCTGTGAATCTGTGAATCTTTTGGTCTAATCAGACTGAAAAACTGTGGTGCAATCAGGAGCTTTGCTGCATAAAGCACTGATGATGTACTGGCAATATAAAGGATCTTGCCAGACTTGCATCTCTTGCATCTCTTTGTGAAACAGACCAGATGATTCAGAAACTATTGCCTTTCCCAAGTGAAATGAAGTGTTAATACTTGAAAAGAGAGAATAGGTGTGTCTTTGATGTTCATCACCTTCTTATGCAAAGCAGTCTACATGCAGATGTACAGCACCACGGTTTAGGGACTCGAAGATCAAGAGTTAATCTACAGGGTAAAGTATATATCTACCTCAGGTTTCCACTTCAGGGTTAAGATCAGAGATGTTAAATACAGAGTAAACACATAGCAAGGCACATTTTCTTCTTCTTAAGAAATTACTATATTATTTACATGCATTTCTACTCTCTACTTATGGAAAGTTAAAATACACTCCCATGTGCATTGTTCTGTGTAATGGGATCTACACAGCTATTCGCAAAAAGGGCAGGTATATTTGGCACTTGAAAATTGAAAATCACTGCCTTGTTTGGTGGTGGATTGCGTTCACCTTTGAGCTGGTAAAATACAATCTGTAGTTTCCAAATTTCTTAGATTTTGTACTAGTTGTCTTTTATGTTTGCATCAATGTACCAAGAACTTTCAAATGAACTTTAAGACTGCTGRCAATATTTAAGGAAACAGACCTTTTTATGACATGCTAAGCTAGAGGGTGTCTCTGAGAAAACAAAAAAAGAACGTACAATATGTCTTAAGTTGTGACATAGGATCCAGTGCCTTCAGGTTTGTCACTATGGCTGGACACAATACAGATGTGACATTGAGTCTTATTTTGAATGCCACAGAAAAGACAGCTGGAAAGAGCAAACAAAAAAACAGCCTGCTATCAGTACATGGCCCTACTAARAGACTCAGGTGACCTCCTGTGTATTTGTTGTGGAAGTCCATTTATTGGAATGAAGAAGCACATGGACATCCAGTAGCCATGACACATTGACACTGCTTTAATCCACTTTGACAAGTAACAATTTGGTTTACAACCTACAAAATTTGAAAATTTCAGACAGTCTCAATTCTGATTCATTGCCAAAATAACTTATATCCTGTTGTTGCTCTTCTCACGAATTTGAGAAGTCTTTTGATTCTCRCTTGAAAGAAATTTGGTTATAGATGGTACAACCACTAAAAAAAGATTTTTCTCATGCCATTGATTCGACTTCATGGTTGTCCCATTAAAAAATATTATTTAAGTTGGTTGTTCAAGAAATTACTGCTACTATTGACAACTGATGTGACAGAAGGCAATTTTCTAAATTGGCTTATGCCAGTTATTTTCTGTATTATTCTGTATATTTCTGTTTGGCAGCTATATGCACAATAAATATTTCAGAAAAAGATCTTCCTGATTTTTATTTGTTAGAAAAATGTAATAAATACACAAGTTTTCTTTTAACATTTGAAGAATATTTTATTCGTGTTGATATTTGCTGTAACAAATAAGCAGATAGGTATAGGCTAGCATTGTGATTGATTAAAAAATGAAACACTGTAGTCTGGTCTATAGTTCTGTGTCAGAAAGGAAGAGTGGGAAAAGATTGTGACATTTGGGTGTGTTTCATGTATATCATAGAGTACTTAGAAGGAGATACATTCAGTGGGCTTGTGAAACAGCTAGAACTTTCAGCTATTGACTTTTTTTTTTCCCCTTTCAGATAGTAAATCTGATAGAAGAGACCGGACACTTTCATATCACAAATACCACCTTTGACTTTGACCTTTGCTCACTGGACAAAACCACAGTCCGTAAACTCCAGAGTTATCTAGAGACATCTGGGACCTCCTGAGGATTCAGCATCTGTCTGCATCAAAACTGTTTTTTAGGTGAAATATGCAGAATGATATAACCGAAATGAGGAGGAAAAACAAGCCAGCCCTCTTCAGCTCTCTTTTAATTTAAAGCCAGTCATCATCTCTTGATAAAGGAGAGGAAAAGTGACAAGATCAAGACAACCACTCCTCTCAACGAGAAAATGCTCTGGAAGAGTTAGCCTGGATAGCCTTGAAAAACACATGCAAGAAGACAAACAGAAAACCTTGTTGTTAATGAATGTGTATGGTATCATGTATCTCTCTGTGGTGTTCCAGCCCACAAGATGAATGCATGTTCAACACACTGCCTTATTACATAACTGATCTATTTATTATTACATACATGTATTCTGAAGTCATTGAGTCATTGAATGACGCTACCAGATGTTGTACTGGGGTTGCATATATGTTCCTTAAATGCAGTACCATCACCATCACAAGCCTAGTAACTTTAGTCATGTTAAAGTGTCATTTCTTGCAAGCTTTCTGTGCTCATTTATACACTATAATCTTGTTTCCACTTCTGTAGTTCAGGAAACAAGATAAAAAATGAGGGACCAAAAACTGGCCCTATGTTTTGTTAATTGTCTGCAACAATAGGTTGAATCGCAGCAGGTTGGACCATAGGTCCTTGGCTGTACCTGTTTATTGATCTTGGATCATGGTAGAAAATGCACCAAATATGACTTGCTGTCTAGCCTCGGTCAAAAAAACAGTAGGACTTTTAACAACGACAACAACAAAAGTCTGTCCTGAATCCAGCACCATTTGTTAACATTCTCGTATCTGTTTTAATGTTATAATATTAAATATATATAAAAGTGAAGGTGTTTTGCAGGATCATCATAAGGGAGGAATACTGGTCCTGTTTTCTAAGGAAATGTTGTAGAAAATTCTTGATTTGAAGATATTTATTACTATGAGTTTCAACACTCAGCTGTTGCCAGTGTTTGACTTATTTTTTACTTTTTCCATAAAACTATTGGCATAACTTTGTTTATTCTTACAGTATATGGTCTAGATAATCTGTTTTGTCTCTTTTTTTTTTTTTTTTTTTTTTTAATACCTGATAAATTAAAACCCTTTCCTTAAAAAAAATATTTGTGGATACACAGTTACATTTTGAGATACATACATACATGTGTGTGTATATACATATGCACATGCATATGTGTATGCAGATGTATCTATGTATGTTTCTGTGGTTTMCTCTTTTCAGATTTTGTTATCTGTTCAGTAATCTGCTTGCATTTCCAGAAGRATTTCTTGTCTTTAGAAATGAGTATTATTTCATAGTATCTGTTATTCCTTTTAAATCAATATCCTTTTCTTGCATTTGCAAATGAAAGGATATGTAATCACACATTCAAGTTCTGTGCTCTCGTATTGGTGATGGTTTCTTGCTGAAATTATCACTTTTCTATTAGAGTTCCAATGACCCAGTGAAAAAAGAAGGGTACCAAGAAATACTTCTGGATCCAAAGGTTTATTCAGGTTTATTAGCCTTAAAATATGTGTTTTTTCTAGACTGGCCAGTATGTSACATGTTTCCTTATATGCCACATGTAGTCTGTATGTGTTGAGCTGAACAGCTGTTATCTGTATGATTTATTATTTCATGCACACAGTTTGTGCAGCACTGTARAACTAAATTGCTATTGAGGTTATTTCTTATTCAGATGGTAAATCTTAACACTGTTTCTTTAAGTCCAAAGAAAATTTTACACTTTTGAGAAAGGGGATAAAGGTTGGGTCTAGGGGGCTTTTTTTCTTATTTAAAATGTTGTTTGACCATACTCCATAGGAAGTCTGTCTTGGGCTTCCAAAGAACAAGTGTACTTTTTTCAGTAATGTTATGACTCTTATTGATGATTGGCATGAAGCATACTTGAAGCATTATGTTTTTCTTCTAAGTCCTTGTCTCAATGTGCAATTGTTGGGGGTAGGAGAAGTGTCTTTTAAAGTTACTTTTGACATCAGATAGATGATGGTGGGGAGGGAGGGCTTGCATGTGAGCGGGATTCACTTCAATTTTTATCAACATTTTATATGAATATGTTTGGAATTCTAAAAGCAATCTTAAAAACTTTTGATCTACTAGTGTGTATTCAACTTGCTATCTTATAGTTGTACTAGATACATGTGGAATTTTGTCATTTTGACTTTTCTAACTAGATTTTGTGGTGAAGCTTCTGAGTTTCAGGAGAGGAAGGATCTCTTGATAAGGCTAGTCTGAATATTGAATATTCCACTGTTTTTTAGAAATGGTGAAATAAGTCACTTTAACTATAAAATGCTACATAAGTTTTGTTGTACTTTGTGAATGGGGATACAGGAGAACAGGAAGTAGGAAAATAAGAATAAAAAGGGGATCATAGCAATTACAATGTAAAGTTACTGCTAAATTTCCTACAAATCCTGGAGCATCCTTAAAATCTTAAATTTTGTAATTTAATGAAGTTGGGAGAGGGAAGAAAAAATATAGATTGCAAAAGTGTGTGTGTGTGTGCGCGTATATATGTGTTTTTCACAGAAATCTGATAGAATAAGAGCTATGTAAGTGTTGATCTCATTTAAAAATACATTAGCTATTTTCATCTAATTTTGTATGCAGAAACAAAATAAATCCTTCTTCAATTGATTTCAAATAGTGATACTTAATGAAAAAATCATAAGAGCTGTTCTAATTCTTTAACGTTTACAAGTATGATTTTTGGGACCAGTTGAAGTCTTTCAGCAATAAACATTATGGCATTTTATTTAATATAAAACTATTTTAAAACAAAACTACCAGAGAGAATTTCTATAAATCCACTGAGATGACAAGGATGACAGCAGTAAGTAAGTAATATTGCGGAATCTAAAAGTCTTTTTCGGCATCACTGAAGTACTGCAAGTGGATTAGCAGTTATACCCAATAGCAAGGATAATTTTATTCTTGTCACCTCAGGAAGTGGATCTGTAAGTGGATAAGTAACTTTTAGTACCTTATTAGAAGTTTAGCTTAACTGAAAGGCTTTACAAGTGTTTTGGTTTCATCTATTTGAATGCCATCTCAGTCTAAAGTAAAGAGAAAGGAGGGAGAAGAGGGTGTGAACTGAACTGAGGAGAGTCCTTACAAGGTCCTCTGGTGTTTCTTCAAAAGCACTTGACCATATGAAATATTCATATCAGAAGCAATGCACAAGTAGCGCTATGCATTTTGGTAGTCCTAGAGTAATTCTAATGTTTCTTTTCCTCTGGGGAAAAGAATTAAAAGTATTTGGTTTTGTCCTGAACTATTTGATTTTCCCTTTCCTCATAGTGATGTAAAATACATTCACAATCTATTTCAGGTCCCTGGAAGCTTTAAGTATTGTCTTAACTTCTTAGAAAAACACTGTATTAGTGTTTTAGATCTCTTAAAAAGCCTGCAACTTCAAGCCTTGTTACTTAACAGTTTGCAAAAGGGATGGAAAAGCTGTAGAGAAACCTGCCTTATTCAGTTGTCATATACATTATTTCACCATCATACAGTATCTAGGGAAGGATGTTTGATTCTTTCATGATGTAAATCTTCACTCATGCATATCCCCTCTCATCTTTTATCGTGTGTGTTTTAATGGCAGGCTGTATCTCTTAGCAGGCTCTTGCTTCAGTCTATATGGGAATTCCTATTTATGTGTTTGTTTAGTGGTCCATAGTTTGTGCCTAACTGGAGTCTATTTTAAATTTCTTTGAGACCTAGCACTCAAGGCTTCTTTGTGTGATCTGTGTGATCCATAGTGTAAATCTTATTTGACATTTTTACTATAATGTGCTGAAATGGACGCCTGTGGTGAAAGTGCTGACTGACCTTTAACCATAGCAAGAGCTAGTGGACACATCAAAAATAAAGGGTGTAGAACACATTCCAGATCTTAACAAGTGCAAGGCATGTCTTCTGAGCTTCAGTATTTTCTGTAGCTGTTRAGTAGTACAGAGTATACACTAGGGAGCTATCCTGTGTAGTCCATAGTGTATAGTGGAAGGTTTATTCTTGGGCATGCAGTGCTTAAAAATGGATGATGAAGACTATGATTCCTATTTGTGCAGTGCTTTTGTGTATGCTTGGGAGTAAATCAGTGGATTACCACAGCTAAACTAACGACAATAACAAGATCATTGCTTTGCATGAGCAAGCAGACAAATTTATGGGAAAGCACAATTACACGAGGGCCTTGCATTTTCTTGAGCAGCAAGAAATACCAGGAAGGTGAATACTAGACAAGAAGGTGGAATATTGACACAATGAAAACAGTGCTCTTTCAACAAGCAAAGGAAGAAAGAGAAGTGAAAGGGAAAAGAGAAGAAAGGAAAGGAAATCCCATAGTGGCTGTACATATTCCCTTACGTTAAGGGAGAGAATAAAGCCTGAGCAGTTAGGTCTGCTTGTAAGACACCATCACACAGTTTGCAGAATGGCAGCTTCTGATGTTTGCTGCTATACCAACTGTGGTGGTATTGCTCGCTTAATGAAAAGTAGATGTACTACAGCATGGTACAAATATCTAAGCTGTCTTAATGTTTGAGATGCTGATGTCTGTTTAACATTTGTGTGAATATTACATCTCATTTATGTTCTCTGTTCTACCTCAGTTAAATTTATTTTGTCACAGAATGACAATCTTGCACTTTTCTTCATTTCTTTTAATCTTTGCAAGTCTGTGAGAACAGCAGGAGGTCATTGCTAGCTTAACTTGGATTGAAAGTATACCCTCCCTGAATGTGGTTTCAAACAGGTCATGCATTTTCATATGTTCCTTTTGCAGAATTGATGCTATAAAACTGGTCCTTCCATTAATAAACTTTGCTGTTGTCTTCTCTACAAATAAGGCATGAATCCTTTGTCATTGTTCAGTGGGAAAAGAATTCAAGGTGCGTGACCTGTTCAGGAAATAGGTTTGTGTGAAGCTGTTAACTACATGGTTTCGATCAAGACTAGAAATAAAATGTACATCTGCAGAAAGAAAGGAAAAATGTGCAAAAAAAAGAGAAATCACTCTTGCCTCCGCCTACATCGACCAGCAATACGCCCTTCCAAATCTT